AGCTGGACTTGGGCTGGCTCCTTTGGGTGGAGGCTGGAGGGGAGGGCAGGGCTGGGGCAGGAGCAGGGAAGATCTGATGCTGCCTGTGTGGGGAGCACAGGGCTCATGAGTGTTGCTCTACCCCAGGTGGCCTTTGCAGTAAAATAAAGGTTTTATTCAGCAAGGGTCAAGGTCAGCTCTCAGTTACAAGTTTGGAGGTAAAAGACTACCCGTAAACCAATAAATCCCTGAAATTCAGGTACAGATGAGGTGGCTGTCTGCTCTGCCACTCTGGCCAAGGACCTCTCAGATGTGGGACTCTTGTCACAGCAATGCTCCTGTCTTTGCCCCAGCATCCCCAGATGCAGCATAGCAGCAGTGTGATAGTCTCTGGTGCTCCCCAAATCCTTGGGACAGCTTGGCCACAGCTCAAAGAACCTTTGCTGTCACCTCAGGTGGCTTTGCACCTTGGATGACTAAAGGTGGTTTCCCTGCCATGAGCATCAGCCATTCAGTCATCAATCCCTTCAAGGATGGGATGCTGCAGGTCCTTTGAGGCTCCTTCCCTCTGCTCTGGGGACAAGCAGGTTGGACTGTCCTTTGTGACGGGACCCACATTTTGTTAGGCTTATCACTGGTATGAACCAGATTCCTGTGGGGATCAGGCGAAGCATTGCATAGCTAACAGGCTCAGTAACAACTGGCTTTGTTTAGATACCCTTGTGACAAACATCCCCTCATTCCCAAGAGTTTTTGGATGAGCTCCTGTTTACAAAGCAGGGCAGATGCTGCTTCTATCTCCCACTCACTGCTGAGGCATGACCCATGGCATAGGTCTGGATCAATTCCTGTTTCAGCAGGCGCTGGAGCCTTTCAGCTTGGGTTGTCTCTGCTTTAGGTGTGGTTTGTCTTCTACCTCTTCAGTGCATTGGCTGCCTTGGAAGAAATGAGATTGTAGCAAAGAAAGTTCAGCACTAGGACTGCAGGGAGTGAGCGGTGAGTTCCAGGGTCGGTGTGCTGCCAACTACCCATCCACCTCTCATTGTGGGCAAAAAATCTAGAGAGACACAGAAACAGGGATGAGCCCCCAGGGAAGGAGCAGAGCCCGAGGGAATGGGGTGATGGAGGTTGGGAGCAGGTGGGGCTCAGGGGACAGAGCTGGGAGCACTCACACTGACAGCAGAGACCCAAAGCTCACCTTTGCCAGCACTGCCTTCACAGCTCCCAGCAGGGCCAAGATGACCTGTCTCACTCCACTCTTGTTACAATGCTTTAGGAGGAAGAGCTTGGCCAAATCCACCTTCTTCTGGGTCTCAGGTGGGTACCGGAGGTTGTTCACAACCTCCATCTTCAGGTCCCTGACCAAGCAGGCACGGTGGTGGGAGAAGGTCTCAAAGCTGTATTGACCATGGTAGGCTCCCATCCCACTGTGACCTGAGAGACACAACCCAGGCAGGTCACAGCATGCACAGGGACACCTGAGTTTCTTAAGTTCTGTTTGGTAGCCCCCAGGACACAGGGAAAGCTTGGGTATGGTGCTTCTCACACCTGGAGCAGCTGCTCTGCTCCCCCAGGGCAGAGAAGCAATGAGCAGCTTTATTAACTCCCCAGAAATAAATGAGGATGTGCTCACTGCCTTGAATTGCTGCTCAGGCTGGTTGTCTGCACCCACCCTTGCAATGTTAATAGCACCAGATCTTTCCTCCCCAGGGCCAGTCCTATTTCTCCCACAAAATTCACACAGGGGTTGGGGACAGAAGGAGCTGGGTCTATGATTCTGAGGAGAGGGACATGAGGAGGACATTCAGCACTCTGCCAGCAGCAACACCCAAGCCCTCAGGCCACAGCCAGGTTGTCCCTGCCACATGAGTCTGACAGTGACTATGGAAACTCAACCAGCCCCTTGGCCACAGGCAAGTTCATCCCACGCCCTGGCACAGGAGAAATGGAGCTAACAGATGTGCCAGAGGGTTTTCCTCTCCCACTAGGATGCCTAATGACTAAAATGACTAATGAGTCTTTTTACAAATGAATCCAGCAGAGACAATATCATTAATGGGAAAATGCAGCTGAAAGTTCCTGAATTGCCAAAAAAGGCTCAAGAGCAGCTGGGTCAGACCGAATGGGATGGAGCAGGGACTCACCCACACCCCCGAAGGGCAGAGCTGGGACCACAGAGTGCATGATGACATCATTGGCTGTCATGCCACCACTGGAGGTCTCTGATATCACCCGTTGGATCAGCTACACAGAATGGGAGATGGCACAGAACAAGGCAAAATCAAGATGGGACACAACACCATGGCAGGGAGGGTACAAAGTGATGCTTCCATCCCCCTTTGAGGGAGGCACAGGCTGTGCTGTGCTCCATGACAGAGGCCAGTTTGCATCACATAGGCAGAAGATCTGCCCAGCTGAAACAGGCAGGAAAGGAAGAGGCTCCATCTCAGCAGGACAGGTAATAGGTGGTGGTGCCTCTGCCAAGAGTCTAGGGTGCTCCTCAGCCCTCCCACCCAAACCACCTGGGGCTGTTGTGCCAAAGCAAAGCCCTGACCTGAATTCCTGAGCTGGCACAACAGAGCCAGGCGTGGGGGGAGGAGACATGCCAGGAACTGTTACCCTTCGTTAGGAACTGTAGTGATTACAAGGGACAATGGGTTCAAACGGAAAGACGAATATTTAGATTAGATACTTGCAAGAGGTTTAACCTATGAGGGTGGTGAGACACTGGCACAGGTTGCCCAGGGAGGTTGTAGATGCCAGTGTTCAAAGACAGGCTGGGTAAGCCTTGAGCAACCTGGTCTAATGGGAGTTGTGCCTACCCATGCACAGGATTGAACTGCTTGGAGACGCCTCCACAGGTGAACACGGCCCAGACCCACCTGCTTGTTGTTGGAGAAGACATACAGGGCAAGGGGCTTCTCCCGATGGTTGATGAACTCAATGGCTTCATCTACACTCTTCATGGTGACAATGGGGAGGACAGGTCCAAAGATTTCCTCCTCCATCACCTTTGACACTGGAGATACATCAGTGAGGATGGTTGGTGCTGCAGCAAACAGGAGAAAAGGAGACAGTGTGAGCAGGACAGAAGACTTGACCCACTCCAGGACCTTGTCCTGGGCACTGCCTGTGGGCAACACACACCAGGCAAGCCACAGACACCCA